TCGCTATGACACGCACTGACCACCAGGGGGCAGACAATGCAGGAGCTGCCCCCTGGTGGTCAGTGTGCTCCCATAGGTGAAGTACCACTCAGCCAGAAGCCGGGCTTACGGCTGGTGAGCACAGCAGCGGTGGCGGTGGTGAGCATAGCAGCAGCCCCAGTAGTGCTAATGATGTCTGACTGTTAGACATCACCCGAGGGCTCCCAAACTTCAAGAGGGTGCAGGCCGGGCTGAGGGACCCCCCTGAGTGCACTAATCTCATGCACCAGGCCTCTAGTTAATAAATAAAGTTCGTGACTGTATTGATCTACTTGTATTGTTTATGTAACTATACTAATTACAATCAGTATTTATGCTTAGTAGTTTTGCTAAGAAGCACAGACATAATCAAACCTTCCAAAAGTATGTGGTGATCTTTGACTGGGTGATGATGCCCGTGATAACTGGCTGTTTGGGCCACAGAGTAAGTGTGGCCAAGGCCCCCTCTCCATGAGGTAGCAGTTTGCCCTCACTGTAGGTCACAGACCTCCTAGAAATAATCAACCTCCTACTGATGCAAGATGCTTGAGAAAATGAAGAAACACCGGTGTGGGGCTGAGAGAGGAGGAAATGGGTATTGAGGAAATTCAAGGAGGGAACCCAGGGAGAGTAAGGAGTAACTAAAACACTGACCCCTGCAGCTGTTGAGTTTGGTAGAGTCAGCCGAGGTGCGATTGCAATGGAAAATATTACATATTCACTTGATAGAAAGTTCTTGTATTATATAGACAGGTTTATTTCCTAGGAAGATTTCAGGAGAAACTAGGGAAGCAGGTAGAACTTAGGGGAATACATTACAAAGGCAAGGACGAGAGGGACAGATCCCCAAAGTCTGCCCATGAGGTTCCTGAGATCTGAACACATGACTATTCCTTGTCTGTCCCCCCACCCCCACCCCACACCCCGCCCCGCACCCCCATAAATAGAAAAGGGCATATGATACTTGGAGAAGTTAAAGCTTTGTGAATGGAAGGGTTGGAAGAGAGAAAAAGCACAGGAGTGTAGAAGTACAAAGAATATTCCTTAGGCCATCTTTCCAGGGCTGTGGCTTTTACACCACTGGGACCATCCTCACTTTACCCTGTCTGGACTTAGAGCCTTTAAATATGAGAGTTCCCTCTGACAAGAGAAACAGTCTTAGGGGAACAGTTTCGAGTCCACATGTATTGCTGTGAGCTTATGATGTTGTCTATTATTTCATAGATTTGAGTTTTCAGAGGCCCCCTTCCCCTTAAAGGGGTACCTGATTTCCTCTCCAGCGTCCAGCACAAGTGCTGCCTCATTGCAGCTGCTCCATTTAACCACCCTTTGGTGTGAATCGTTGATGGAAGATGGGAACAAAGCCTAGACCTTCTCACTAATGCTTTATAATTTTGAATATTGTTTATTAAAATTCTCTACATATCATCGGGCGGCTGTGGCTCTGTGGTTGAGCATCCACCTATGAACCAGAAGGTCATGGTTCCATTCCTGGACAGGGCATATGTCCGAGTTGCGGCTCAACCCCCAGTAGGGGGTGTGCAAGAGGCAGCCAATCAATGATTCTCTGTCATCATTGATGTTTCTATCTCTCCCTCTCCCTTCCTCTCTCTGAAATAAATAACAACATATTTTTAGAAAATTCTACACATATCAACAAGTGCCCAAATATTAGTTATGATAAAATTCCATACAGAACAAAACAATTTAAAAATATAGACACCACAGTAGAGCCAGGTACCATTTTAATTCACCTCCAGAGATTTCCCCATCTCGTGTAAAGGTGTGAAAAAAAAAACACAACTTTTTTTTTTAATCCTAAGAGCTGGCCCCACAATTCCTCTTTGGGAAGGGTGAGGAGGGAGCTGTCTCCTGGGGGAGAACTGTTGATGAGCTTGTAGAGGGAGATGACACCTTGAGGGTTTGGATGCTATGGGGCACCCCTTCCAGAGGAGGGGACACCTGCTCTGCTAGAGATTTAGGGGAGTTTGTGGTTTCTGCTCTGTTGAGGGCAGGGGTGGGGAGCAGGGGGACAGGGGAGGAAAAAGGAGAGAAAAGCCCGCTTGGGTCCAGAAGCTGAGATGAGGTAAGGGAGAGGGACTGGGAAGGTGTTGGACAGTGATACCACCCATTGGATCACATTTACTTGCTATTGCTGGGAAGTAAACCCTGCCTTCCATCTCTAGAGTAAATTCTACTCAATTTGCACATGGAAGCAAGATCTCCGAAGTCTAGGAGGCCAAGAAAACAAAAGTCCCTTGGGGACAATTCACAAAAACCCGGGGGTGGGGGAGGGGGTAGGGGTGGGCTTCGGACTTCCCAGGCCCTGAAATGGGACTCAGAGGACCCCAGCTGACGGCTTGGTTCCGTCCTTTTTGTCTCTTTCCTACCAAATTAAGTATAAAAACAAACACCTTTTGTCTCTCACTGAACTTTTGCTTGGAGGTTAGCCGTCCTCACTTCTAGGTTCTGATTTGGGCACGAATTTCAAAAAGCTTGCTGTTTCAGGGCCCACATTGTAATACAAGTAACCAAAGCCTGGCATGGCCTGCTTACTCTAATTGCCTGAGATAAGACCTTATCTTTTCCTGTGCTCCGCCAAGTCCAGCCTCTGCCGTTACCTCCTTCACCTCTTTCCAGGATCACTTGATTCTGATTACTTCAAATGCTTCTGGCCCAGCTGACCTGGCTCAGTGGTTGAGTGTTGACCTATGAACCAGGAGGTCACGGCTCGATTCCTGGTCAGGGCACACACCCAGGTTGCAGGCTTGATCTCCAGTTGGGGGCGTGCAGGAGGCAGCCGATCCATGATTCTCTCTCATCATTGATGCTTGTCTCTCGCTCTCTCTCTCTCTCTCTCTCTCGCTCTCTCTCTCTCTCCCCCCTT